ACTGCCTACAAAAAAGCATTCCTTGCACTGACACCCATTTAAAGAAATTTCTCCTATCTCTCCTATCTATATTTCTCTCATACGTCCTCTCTTGATGACTCCATCCATGACTCAATGCAAATATGTATGTTGTACTGGTATATTGATGGCTCCTTGTCAGTGATTTCCCCAACTAGTGGACTTGCACTTTCGCTTTTAAAGTTCTTAATTTCAATGAAACCAAATGGAACATTTAATGAGATTTAATCAAATGTACTAAGAATAGTTCAGTCTTAAGGCTTTCTCGAGTTGGTCTGATTCCTGTTAGTTCGTAATATTGATAAATTATGATTTTGCTGTAATCTTGCATTTGATGAACACCACTTCAAACAATATTGTCATTGTGTGGCTTAACTGTTGTCATTAATAAAGTTTGTAATGTCATGGTCTTGTGTTCTGTCCATTCCTAAGACTCAAAATATTGTCTGTTCTTAACTAACTTTATCTACTTGCACTTATATTTCGATTAATTGCATATTTTCATCCAACATATGTCTATTTTTTTACATCTTTCTTTTGTCTATGTACTTCTATTTTGTGTTTTCACTCCCTAAATGTATCACCACCCACTTCTGCATTCATTTTATTTGCTATCAGTGCCTGTCTGATCATCCCATTGTCTTTTTGATCTAGTTAAGTTTTATTTCTTTCAGGGCCAGCAGTTGAGGTGGAAAATATATTGATGTCCAGGATAAGATTGGATTGGTAGTTGAAAGGAAGTAGTAACAGGGTAGATAATGTTATGCATCACTGGGATAGGACGGAAGAAATCAGGCCATGCCACTCCTGAAGGCATCACAGTTTAGTTTTTTTTAATATGCATCATTCCTCAATTTACTTGTTTGTAGGCAGAGGTTGACAGAAAGAATTGACCAGGTTCTGTACATAACTAAGTACTATTTATTAAAAGTAAACCAACTTTAATTACAGGTAAACCATTATGAACTATTGGCATGTAACTCTACTCATTAAATCTTTTATTCTCTTTTAAACTCCCCCTTTTACACGTACACACTTACACAAGGGGAAAAAAAAATAACACAGATGTTACAAGGGCAAGGCAAATCTGGCAAAGCAGTTCAGTGTTCCTGTTTACAAGATCTGCTGAGAAATTTCTCTATATCATCATCAATTAAAAGTCTAAGCTTATAGCAACAGCTGAAGGAAAAATAAACTGGTTTTCTTCATGTTTAAAATGGCTTTTACTGCAGATAGTAGAGCTCCTGAGCTCGTGGAATTCACAGCTTCTCACTCCCTACTATCTTGTTCATAGCCCTAACCTGTTCAGTTATGAGAATCAATCACGATGTTGTTGGCAGGCAAACGGCCTTGTCTTCAATAACTGATCACAAGTCTACAAACCAATGCCTGCAAAATCTCCATTTATACACACCTATCAACTACAGCTCATCTGCAGACTACATTTCAACTAATGCGTGAACAAGCTCACTGTAACTTGTGCTTACAGCCTGTAGTAATCTTTCAGCAATCCTCCATTTTTAAAACAGTTCTTTTCATATTTCAATCCACAAATAATACAAAAACTAAAAAATGCATTCTTTAGAGTAAATATAGTTAAAAGATGTTTGTTCATATGGAGGTTAAATGCCAATAGTCGGTTGAATGGCCTGTTTCTGGATTGTCGTTCTTTGTTGTTTGCAGGTGCAGTGGGATTCTGTGTGAGAGAATTAAATTTTGCCCTGAGCGTGGCTGAAGGAGAGATTTTAGAGAATTCTGTAGTTCTAGTAGGTGATGGTGTTTAGTGTGTTACTATAATTGGGCAGCTTATTACCCATCCCTTCTTTAATTCCGACTATTTTAGTAAAATGCTTTTGATACTTCATGTAGTGACGGAAACAAAACTAGTTAACTTTTAGCAAGTTAGTGTTTCTATTTTGCCTGTGCACATGTTTGATTATCTGATTAAAGACCAATAAATTAACTGTTTATTGTAACTCAAACTGTTCTGCATATACTGTTTGAGTGTATTGTTGATGTGAGTTGAATTCTTGTGTCAAGTCAATGCAACATTTTTTTTTATCATCTGTATTGGCTTTGAAATTCATCTGCCTCATTCCTAAACAAAACAATTGCTGATTTTTCTTTTTCCCTTCTTGACAACAAATGAAATGTTTTCACCATTAATATTGTTCATTATAAAACTGTTCTAACTTTCAGATTTTGACAAATAAAGTGGATAGGAACTAAATTCGTAGCATAAATATTTCCTTGCAAGCAGCAAAATGAAACAAAGTGCTGGTGAGCAAACCAAGGAGTAGACTTAGTAAAGTTGCCATTGGACCAGAGGGCAGCTGTTTCAGGGAAACAACTTGTGGTTTAACCTGAGGGTCAGCATGCCTTCAGTGAGGAGAGTACTTAAGAAGTTGGGACCTTCATGGGAACCTCAGTTGACGCAGAAATTGAACCCGTATTGTTGACACCACTCTGATTTGCATGTCAGCTGAACTAGAATTAGTAGACAAATGCAGCTTATGTTAATGAAAATGTATCGAGTCAAGTGACCTATTTCGTTACTGCCATTTTGATTTAAGTGCATTTGAACTTTTCTGCCACTGCTTCTAGTTACAAACCAAAGCAAAGTGTCATTTTGCCCTGTTGACATTAATTGGAAATATTTCTGATGTAAAAACTAGCTAGACTGCAACTTGAGGGGCTTCAAGTCTCTGTCAGAGCCATGTTGCTATTTCGCATCATGAACCTAGTTACCAGGTTTCCTCACCCTGGGTTTATAGGCTGCACTTGTGCCACTTAACTGGCATTCACGTCAGGCCTCATGCTGTCCCAGGTTCACTGTCCAGCTTGCAGATACGTTAGTGTTCTGGAGACTGGAAATTTGCCTATTAAGTGGTCATGTGCATTCACTCTCCAAGGCCAGCAGAACAGCTTCTGCTTTGCTGTTTTCTTTTGTAGTCGGCAGTACCAGGAGAAATTGTGCAGTTATTTGAAAATGCCACTTCTGTGTAATTATTTCATAAGTTTGAATTAAAAATAGAAATATGGCAGTGCTGTAGAGAAAGTAATGTTTGATTTTCATATGAAGTTTGCATTAACTGCTTGTTTATTTACCACTTTCTACAAACATAGAGCCCAGCATCAACCATTTCTCTCATCATTTGCCTCAAGCTCCCTGCCACCTCCAAGTCCACCTTGATGTTGACAGAAAAGTAATCCAACTGGTATAAGTGTGTCCCTGGCCAAATATTCTATCCATGAATATGCTGAAGCTTTACGTAAATGCAGAATGTGCTTTTGGAGAACCAGCTAGATAAGTGTAATTGTATTATGGCTCAAAGAAGACACTAGGCTTGATGGCCTAAAGGCCTTTTCTTTTGAAGCCGCGATTCATCACCAGTGATGTAATTATCTATATTCACGCAGGATTGCAGTCATCCTCTTTGTCAGTAGAGTTCAGTTCAGTAGACTCTCTTTCAACAAGCAAACCCACAGATGATGGGGAGGAGGAAGAGGAAGATGAAGAGAATGATGAAGATGAAAACCTTCCAAGTATACTGCTGCACCAAGGTGGGACACTTAATTTTTAATCCTGTAGTAAGCAATCATGATACATAATTTCTCCCCTGGTGTCTAGTCACCTGACGTTTCCCAAGAACTGTCAGGTTTAAATTAGTGATAGTAGGAACTGCAGATGCTGGAGAATCCGAGACAACAAGGTGCAGAGCTGGATGAACACAGCAGGCTCGGCAGCATCATAGGAGCAGAAAGGCTGACGTTTTGGGCCTAGACCCTTCATCAGAAATGGGGTTTAAATTAGTGTTGCAGTGTAGAGCTGTTTAAACAGAATTGACCTCTGTACAGTTAAAACTGCAAGATGTTAACCGTTTTATATGAAACTGTAGTGTCACTTGATGGATATTGCCAGTGTAAAGCTTTTAAACGTGATATTTTATGTCCTTTCTGTATAAAATGAAAAAACTCTAAGCAGTGATTATGCAACATAACCTGAGGCTGCTGGCACTGTAGGCTCCACCCTTTTGTTTTGCAGCAGCCCTTTACTTAAAGTGATGGAGACTTCAGTGTGATGTAATGCTTTTATGTTTGCATTAAACTGAGACTACAATAGTAGGAGCAGCCAATTCTGCCTGTTCCACCATTCTGTGAAAATACTGCCGATTTTCTGTCTTGACTCCTCTCTTGCAATGATTCCATATTCCTTAATACACCTAGTAGGAAGGTCTCAAATCTTGACTTTAAAATTACTAATCGATTTTTATCATTTACAGGAGAGAGTTTCACTATATCACCATCCTTTTATAGGAAGAAATACTTACTAACTTCTGTCCTGAATAGCCTGGCTCTGATTTTGACTTCGTCACTTTGTTATGGCAAAATATGTTCCTCTTTCTTGCCCTATCAATTTATTTCTAAGCTTCAAATCTGATCACCCCCTAACTTACCATGTCGAAAGATGCAAGTTTGGTTTAGTTACTCTACGGAAAGTGCCATTTTAGTCCAAGACTTGTGACTATTTCCTCTGGACGTTGTGCTCTCATTGTCACCTGTTTCTGTGTTCCATTGGTCTCTGTTCAGGAGCAAAAGCAGAGGACCAGTGTTTTCTATACTTTGGGCACTGTTGACAGCAAGGAAATTTGGGCAGCAGATGTGAAGTGTGTATACTACTTTAGTAGATGCATCTGTCGCTGTAATATTTTTAAATATTCATTAGATTAGTAGAATTAAATAACCATTAGATAACAACCAGATTATATTACACCCTCACTAGTCAAGAGTAAAGTTGGTTCTCAATGGGTAAAACATATTCTAATCTGTCTTCATGTTCTTAAAGCATACCCATGTGCTTTTTCCTTCAATGTTTAAAGTAGCTGATGTGTTAGCTGTTCTTGCATTCACTTAGTGTAACTGGGTTCCTTTCTGGATCTTATACACTCGTAGATAATCTGGCAAGTTTTCTTTGGTATTGTCAAAGACTGGTGATCAATAAAATTCAGCTTACAAAAGGATTGATTTCCTCATGACAAGTCTTGTATAGATCTATCTGTTTACCTTGTTGTGAGCAGTTGAGCAAAACTCACATTAAGACCTAGCAGCACTAAACCAGATAAATATAACTTTACAGGATTTTTAAAATGTTGCATGTTGGTTCTTAATTGATCTAAGAAGTTTATAGGAGTGTATCTTTTAATAATTCTCTTAGCTGGATTACCTCCAACGTATTAAGAATAATTGATTCTTCTAGAAAATAAATAAAACAATACTGTTCAAAGCTTCCTGTTTGAAATATGACAGTGCTGAGCAGCACTGAGTCATTTACACTAGTCTGTTAAACCTTTCCTATTTGTTATGGCACAGGGATAGCAAGCCAGTTCAAATCAATTTGCTAACAGTGGATTGCAGCAGTGAAATTAAAAATATTCATTGACCCTCAATTTCCCAGTTGGTCCTAACCAGATTTTATGAATAAAATATAAGACACAAATCTTATAGCTTAAACGCACATGATTAATAGTAAATTGATAATTTATTTTTAATAACGTAACTTCAGTTGAGCAAAGCTAACCAAAAAGATAACAAGTTAATCTAATTAATATCTATGATTTACACTCTATCTTCTTTGATCGTAACCACACTCTCTCACCACAGACACAGTGAAGAGAGAAATTAGAAAGAAAATGAGTTGTGACTGGCCAGTTTACTTCAGGGGTTTCGAGCCCTGGTTGCTAAACATTTGTACAATCCTTGGAAACATTGTTCGCAGGCACAGCGAACTGTCTATCTCCCTTGAATTCCGACATCAATGCAAACAGCTTCTGCAAACTACTAGAGATTTTTACTTAAATCTTGCACACCGGGGCTCTTTTCACAGAACTTTCAAAAGTTCAATAATTGGAAGATAACTAGAGAGCAACCAAAACTCCATCTAGCAGCTTTCACAGCCAGACTGATCAAAACCCAATGCACACCAGTTCAATCTGTGGTTTCTCTTTTTGTATCCAATTTCTCTCTCTTTGGCTGGCCACTGACCTTTTTTAATTGATCCTTTTAACATTCAGGCAGCTGCCAGTTCTTGTGCATCATGCATCTCAAGTGCTGAAATGTTTGGAGTGTTCTTAAAACCCAATAATCAACCTGCAATTACTTTCCAGGCCAGTTGCCACAAACACTATATATCAGTTCTTGTTCTTTCCATTTTTAAAAATTGCTGCAGCTCAAAGTCTAAAGTTTAACTCAAATGCAGCTCACAATTCCAAACCAAAAGTTAGAAAATTGTTAGTGGGTGAATGGATACTGAAGGCCACACAGGCAAACTGATCCATATCTGATTTTATGCAAGTCACTGATCATGATCAAGAAAATGTCAATTTAAATGCGCTGACCTATAAAGTCTTGTTAAAAAACAATTTTCTATTTTCAAATTTTATGAAGACTGCATCCTCATTAGTTGCGATGTTTGAATTTGGAGTTGCAGCTGATAAATTTTTTTTAAAATCTACCAAGTAGCCTTGGTGATAGCAAGCCTATATTAAGCTTTTTTCGCAGGCAACTGTGAATGAAAATGTGTTCCATCCTTTTCTTTGTCCAATCTATTTAGACTTCCTAGCACTATGGCAAGATGTAGACAGTAAACTGGATGGTGGATGTGCTTCTCTAACTGATCAGATGCTTTGTCAGTCCTGCAGTACAGTGAGAGGATTGGAAATGGATATTATTAGCCTACTGAAAATGATGATCACTTCTGTCAGAGAAATTATAATCCAAAACTGTAATCTTATAACATCAACTACGTTTTTATTATTTCATGGGATCTGATGTGATGCTCATTTCTGATTACTTTTGACAAATTGGTGGTGAACTGCCTTGTTGAAAATTGTGTACAGAGAGCTGGGAATTTGGTTCCAGGATTTTGTCCCAGTGACAGTTAAGGAATGGCAGTGTAGTTCCAAGTCAGAACAGTGAGGGGCTTGGAGGGAAAGTTACAAGTGGTGATATTCCTAATAATGTGTTTCTCATGACGTTTTCTGTGACAGATGTCACAGATTTGAAAGCTGCTGCTGGAATCTTGCAGAGTTGCTATTGGTGCATCTTGTGGATCCTATATATGATTGCCACTATGCATTGGTGGAGGAAGTGAAAGTTTAAGTTGATGGATGTTGTAACAATCATTCAAGCTGCTTTATCCTGTGTTGTGTTGACCTTTTGAGCATTGTTGGAGCTGCACTCATCCAGAAGAGTGAGACTCTCACTCCTGACTTATGCCTCATAGGTAAAGAGGCTTAGGAAGTCAGGAAGTGCATACTTGCCCACATTTGAGATAAGACAGTCTTTGTTATCTTGCATAAGGCCTTTAGTATTGTTCCAAGAACAGAAAAATAACACTGATTTTCTTCTTATGGTCAAGTTAAACCACTTGGTAAAACACCTATTTTGACTGTTGTAATCTGGTTATGAAAATTTTCCACTCCTGATTCTTTCTCTGTTTCTTTTTTTTTCTCTCCAACTCACCAATGAGGATGCAGTCTTCATAAAATTTGAAAATAGAAAATTGTTTTTTAACAAGACTTTATAGGTCAGCGCATTTAAATTGACATTTTCTTGATCATGATCAGTGACTTGCATAAAATCAGATATGGATCAGTTTGCCTGTGTGGCCTTCAGTATCCATTCACCCACTAACAATTTTTTAAGACTCATTTAATGAAGAATGGCCTTGTAAAATTAGGTTGGCGAAGCATACCAACAGTTTGAGATTCAAAATATTCCCAATCAGGCTTGATTTGGTAGAAAAGTTAACCATGAATTTAAAAGCTTTATTTGTTGAAAAAGTTAACAGATTTGGAAATGCTTTTGTTAAGTGGCAAATTGAATTATGCTGCTAATTTTAAGAAGTAATTAATTTCTGTTTTCTGTTTTATTTTTGCAGAGCAATGGTCAGTAACTGAGGGGATGCTGGTTTGGTGTAAATTCCAGAAGTACCCACATTGGCCAGCAGTGGTAAGTAAGAAAAGGGACAGAAGTCCAAGGTATACTTAACTAATTTTGTAAATTAGAGCTTTTAGCAATTGTCACACCCTCTTGTTTTTAAAAAACTTGCATTCACGTAGTGTTTGACAAATACATCCCAAAATGCTTTACAACCAATTTCAGTACTTCAGAGATTGCACTTCAGAAGTAATTTTGGTTACATGGCAGTCAGTTTGCACATAGCAAGCTCCCCCAAATAGCAACGAGATAATGACCAGACAAACTTTGTGACTTGGGGATAAGTTTTGGTCAAGAGCGAGAATAGTGCAGTTTTGTTAGTCAAGTTTGAATTTATCCACTTTTTATAAGTATGCATCCCTGCTTTTAACAGGTAAGAAGTGTAAAGCCCAGGATCAAGAAGGCCAGCATATTGTTTGTCGATGAAAATATAATAGATGTAGAAAAGAATAAAAAAGGGTAAGTGAGGCTCCTTTCAGAAATTTGTCAATAAATAACCTCATTGTAATAGGTTTCGATAGCACAGATTTTTCTGTTTAAGCAGTATACCGTACATTTTTTATGGGAGTGAGCATTAAATTAATAACGCAATTTTTTTTAATTGATGTAAATAGCATTAATCCTTGAATGCATTTTTGCATGACTTTGCTGTGGCTGTCCGACTTTATTTTCTTTATTATTCACCACACTGCAACCTACCCTTTCCCACACATTTTGACTTGGACTTTGGCTTTATTGAGTTGACATGGGGTATCCTAAGGTGCTGCCTCAAGTAGAGATCATGTGCATGTATCACATTGTGTCTTACCTGATGTATTGGTGAAGAAACTTATAGATTTTTGCTTCATGTATCTGAATTAAACATAATATTTGTTGCATATGCCATTTAAAAACATTTGTTTAAGTATTTTTAATTCCAGATTAAAGTCTTCCAGTTATTTCCCATGCCTAAGCTCATATGCAAGTTATCATAGATGATTGTATTGACTTGGAGCTTAAGTCTGATATGTAGTATGAATTTCAGCATATTCCCTTTAAACCTAACATGGTGATGAATAGCCTTTAATGTTTCAATACATTAACCAAGCCAATTAATTTTATTTTTGAATACTGTAGCTTTACGGTGTCTGTAAGGACACTGAAACCATTTGACTGCGAAAACCGTCATCAGTTAACAGTAAGTTTACAATCTGTTTGTTCACAGCCATACAGTTTAATTGAAGCAAGGTTTAAAACTGCTATTTAAAGCTACCCTGATGGATAATGTAACTGCCGTGGTCAAGATCTCTGGTTTGATAACTGATCTGTGGTGTGATAGCTGGTGATATTGAGTTGACAGTTACAATATAATTCGTCATTCTTTTTATTTGGGGAATCGTAAGAAGGTGTGAATAGGATAATACAATTAGTGGTCTTGCTTTTCGTTGTTGTTCAGTAGCTACATTAGTGCACATGCTTTGGCATAGGAGTAAGCAGAATTGTGTTGAGCTCACTTCAGTTCACACAAAAATGACCACTGCTCATGAAGTTTATCCCAACGTGACTCAGCAGCTTCTGGAATTCTGGACTTATTTGGCATCATATTTGAAAGTTACAAATGACAACCATGAAATGAAAGACAATGGTGCAGTAATCATGAACTTTATTCTGTTATGTCTTGGGATACAATTGGTGTTGGCAGATTTGGGGCAAGTTGAATTTATACATACTGCATTGATCAGTGAATCTGGCATGGCCATAAATCATCAGGGGCAAGTTGAAATCAATTTTATTTTAACACAAAGTGACATTAGAATATAAACAGCCACTGAAGAACAGTCTGTTACAGTATTTAATAGAAATTAAATGAGTCCTTAAAAATTATTCTAAAAGTGAAGAAGGCACTCAGTGGAGCGCACATCTTCTTCACAGTGAGTCACTTTAACATTACTATAAATTCTCAGCTCTTAGTGACACTCTTCTATCTGTTGATGCACAAAGAAGATTTTTTCAGCTTAATAGTCATTTTAGAGCTTCCATCATGCTGATGTGCTTTCAAGCCAACCTGTATCCAACAACCTGGTCTTAGAAATTCTGATATCTGTAACAAAGGCTACTGCAGCAGCAGAGACCATCTACACCATTCCAAAAAATCAAATGTTTAAATCAAACAACTCCCAACTTTTTTAAAACAAAGTCAATTTGCCCTAAATACCAGTTATAATATCCTTTAAAGATTGCAGAATCAGCATCTGTATCTTCAACAAAATTAATCCGTTCTACCTCAGGCCATATCTTTTATCTTGTACTGCTTTTTTTTGAATTCTATCCCTATTGAGATAGACATTGTTTGAAAACAATATAAATTGTGGCAAAACCATGATTTTATCTTTGCCACTGAAGGTGGGTAGAGAAAAAGAGTAAGGAAGGAAGCAGAATTAATGTAGATCATTCAGCTGCCTTTTTTTGTGTTAAGTTTCTATGACTATATTGAATCTGGGAGTGCTAACACTTTTTTAACAGTAAAATTTCAAAGCACAAGCTCTTAATGTGCTTTTATAAACCTTTCGACAAACATATTCTCAATTAGAAATCTGTTGTATCTTTGATCTTGATATTTCGAAGATCCATGCAGTTGTTAAATCTTTTATTATACAGGCTGCAGCACGGCACATTTACAAGACTTCAGTTGATTGGTGTGTGGCTCTAATTGATGATTATCGAATCAGAAGAGGCAAGTTCTATCAAGTTTAATGTTTTTGAAAAGCGCACAGAAGACTTTAAAACAGGCTTTTTCCAATGTTACTTTTTCTTTTGTTTGCTTCCCCCAACCCCAATCCCTGCTAATATAGCTTGTGCTTGTTTATCATAGTTCTCTGCAATATGGAGCAAACTTTCAATCTGTATTCTGCAAATTTACAAGTGATCATCCTAAACTACTTTTGAACTTGTAAATTGTTACAAGGGAGAAGGAAAATCGACTTCTGTGACCACAGCAGCATGGTGTTCATGTCTATAGTAGCCCCCTAAGGACGAATAAAAAAAAACGTCACTGGAAACATTTTCTAAGTTCTGTGATAATTTGTTCTGTTAAATTACTTGATATAGCTATGTAAAATTTGTCTTTTTAACTAACTTTAACTTTATTGGAATATCTTGACAGGATGTGGCTCCTTCACAGGTTCCTTTGTTGAGTACTGTACAGCTGAACTTAGTAAGTAATGTTGATTTTAAGATTATCATTCTCTCTATTTTTTGAATTCATTGCTTTAATTGATCCAAATTTGAGTTTAACATTCTATTGCTGAGTGAACTTAGATGAGCTGAAGTCCCATAAGTGAAGGGTTTTTGTTTTGGCTTGATACTAATATAGAATTAATGCCCCAAAACAAGCCAAGGTATTTTGTTTTTGGTGGAAATTTGCTACAAGTATAAATTTTCTTTTCCAAATGACTTGGACATAAAATCACCATTCTTGAGCCAGGCAGCACAAAATATCAATTACAATCCAAAAGTTTCCACTGAGTTAGCTGATGTGTGCCAGGTCAGTGATCAGATTCTGCAAATTAGCTGAAGCATTGTTGAGAAGAAAAGAAAATCTAACTTAAATTTATAACAGGCCTTTAGCAGTAAAACTCCCCAAAGTGATTCACAGAATTGAAGAAGAATTGACTCCAGGTTTAAAAAAAAGTCAAAAAAGAAGAGTTTAAAGACCCCCTCAAAGGGAAAAAAGAGGGCTCTGAATAAAATTGCAGACAAATGAAGGCACGCCCACCGATGATGGTGTGTAGAAATGGACAAAAAACCAGAGTTAGGTGAACACCAAGATTGTAGAGTGTTATGGGACTGACAAAGGTTTCAGAAAAGGTGAGGCCATAGAAGGATTTGAAAACTGAACTTGAAAACTTGGGGACTACGACAGCAAACGCAGGCATAGTAGATGAATGGGCTTTGGAGTCTTTTAGGATATAGACAGTAGAGTTTTGCATGACCATAAATTTGCAAGACAGTGGAAGTTGAAAAACCAGCCAGGAAAGCATTGAATAATTGACCATAGACCTGAGTTGAGTCTCATGGTTGTAGAGTGCCCCCTGATGGAAGTACATCCATTATTTGTATTTGGTAAAATTAAGTCCTCACCAAATCTATCGTATAGAGAAGCAAATGTCATAAAGTAAAATATTTAAACATTTTTAGTATTTATTTTGATAATGGGACTGTTAGATTAATAGAAAAAGAGCGCAAATATTTTCTGGACTGAACATTTCCTTTCCAAAACTTTGATCAGAGTTCTGCTTTGAAGGACAAATTGTTTTATTTGATGGTAGTTCTTCCAAAGAAGCACTTTTATGATCAAGTGGAATCAAGTATCATTCTGTCTGATAATCCATGTCCATATTCTTTCTTTAATCTTTTGGATTTTCAGAAATATTTCCTATCTTAATAATCTTGCAGTGGCATTATTTTACCTCGGTTAAGTGTCAGCCTGGTAAAACCATAACAAGACGGCTTGCAAGTCAAGCTCTGTAAGCAACATCAATAGACGTAGGTAGTCCAACAACCAGCAAATCAGATCCAAGCTGTGCAGTCTTGCTATATCAAGTTATGAATGGTGGTGGACAATTAAACAGTTCCCTGGCGAGGATGTTCCACAAGTGACCCTAACTTCAATAAAAGGAGTGTGCGCACATTGTGCAAAAGACCAGGCTGAAGTATTTCAAGGTTCCATTCAGGCAATCTGCTTCTGCTTCCTCCAGGGGTCCCAGCATCATTTTACTAGCCTTCATCCAATTTGATTTCAGCCAAATGATATCGAGAAGCAGTTGAAATCACTGGATACTGCAAAGGCTACAGGCACAGACAATATTCTGGCAATAACATTTGAAGGTTTTTGCCCCAGATCAAGCTGCACCTCTAGCCAAGCTGTTTCAGTACAGCTACAACACTGGTATCTAACTGGCAACATAGACAGTTACCCAAGTATGTCCTGGCTATAAAAAGCAGGATAAATCCAATCCTGCCAATTGCCACTCCATCTGCCTCTTTTTAATTATTTGGAAGGTAACACCAACAGTGCTATCAAGTGGCACTTGGTAATAAAGTTGGTTTGGGTTCCTCTCATGCTGAGCCCACTCATGGTCCAAACCTGGACCAAAGGGCTCATCTCAAGGGGAAGTGAGGGGGACCACCTTAACATTAAGGTATCATTTCATAGAGTGTAGCATTAAGGAAATGCAATAGAGTTGGCCTCACTGCGATTCAGGAAAATCTCCCCACTGGTTGGAGTTGTACAAAGCTCACAAACACCTCCTGATGCAGGAAGCCCATGTTCAACTCCCGCCTGCTCCAGAGGTCTGTTACCCAGAGTAGTATCTTAGGAAGATGACCTTCAGTTAGTTCATCAATGATCTTCTGACCTCCATAAGATCTGAAATTGGGATATTTGCGCTATCATCAATGTTCAGCACCATAACCCTCTTTAGATATTAACATAGCCATGACCAAATTCGACAGGACCTCGACAACATGTACGATTGAACTGATGTACAGCGTAAATGCTACTTACCACTTTAAAGTTTAAAGCAATGGCCATCTCCAGTGAGAGAATATCATCATTGTTTCTTGGCATTCAATGGCTTTACCAAAGCCGAATTCCCTGATCCACATCCTGGAGGTTGCTGTTGACCGGAACTGGACCAATTCTGTACGTACTGTGTAAATCAGGTTAAGGACTAGGAATTCTCTGGCTCCCCTCCGAGTTTCTCACCATCCTAACTTGGAGCTATAATACCATTCCTTCAATATTGCAGAGTCAGTATCCTGGAACTGCCTGCCTGACAGCACTGTAGGTGTACTTGCACAGTAAAGTTTGCAGTGTTTTCGTAAGTCAGTTCGCTGCCTTCATTGGGAATTGGGAATGGGGAATGGACAATAAATGCTGACCTAATCAGCAACACCCACATCCCATGAATGACCAGAAGAAAAGACACTGTTTTTATTCAGGTCTTCGTAGATGCGAGCTGTAGCCTATAAGTTTCAAGTGGCTTATGTTTGTTTGAACTGTAGAATTCAGCTATTGATGACACTTGAATCTTCTGCTATCAGCTGTAGTGGGAAGTATAAGTAGCCCAACCTTGATATGGGTGCCAGCATTTGACCTTTTTTTTTTCTGGTGGGGATAAGGTTTATGGATATCCTCTCATTCACTACCTGTTTCTGGCCAACTAAACAGAGGAAAACCATACAATGTGACACATCAGCTGCAAGATGAGAATAATGATTGAAACAGACAAAAAATGAAAATATTGTGCTTTACGTGTGGGTTTAAATTGGGGACTCTGTAGTCCTGAACAGCATTTTCTACACAGCCTTAGCAGAGGTTGGAAGATCAGTGAGTCAACACAGTTTTTTGAAAGCGAGGCTTAAAATGATGGCCTTAAATGAGGGTGTAGATATGCTCGCTGAGCCGGTGGGTTTGGTTGCAAACAATTCATCACCCTGTTAGCTAACATGAGCATTGCTTCCCGTGAAGCGTTAGTGTTCTGTCCCACCTGTTATTTATGTGCCTTGGTTTGGAGCGTTTCGTACCACTCTCTGGTTCTGTTTCTCAATGGTTTCTACACTGGGTCTAATTCAATGTGTTTGATGGGGTTCCGGTTAGAATACCAGGCCTCCAAGAATTCTCTGGCTTGTGCGATTTATGGATGTGTTGTCCCTGTTTGTCTGTGTGTCATGAGACAAGTGAGAATTGGTCATGTCTCTTGGTGGCTAGTTGGTGTTCATGTATGCGTATTATCAGTTTTCTTCCAGTTTGGCCTATGTAGTGTTTCTCTCAGTCCACACAACATTCAATAGGGTAGATGCAGATAAACTGTTTCCTCTGTTGGGACAATCCAAAAGTAGAGGGTGTAATCTTAAAATTTGAGTTAGGAAAATCTGGGGTCAAATCAAAAAGCACTTTTTTATGTTTAAATTCCAATGGAGATCTAGAGTACAGTCTTATTAATTTGTCCACTACTGAGTCAATTGAATTTTGAAGACAGATCAATAGATTTGGTATATTACACTGATTTTGGGTATGGAATCCTTTTACATTCATCAGTAGCTTTCAGAGGGCGGTTGTTGGTTTGTGGGCTACCCTGATTCCTAGGGGTCTGAGTAGTCTTGTGGTCATTTCTGAAATGTCCCTCATGTATGGTAGGGTGATTATTGAGTCTGGTTGTGTTGTGTCTTCCTGTTATGGCCTGCCTCGGAGGTAACAGTGGATTGTGCTTTTTGGGTATCCATTCTTTTTGAAGACTCCATATAAGTGTTCCTGTTCTGCTTTGCATAGTTTCGAGTTGCTGCAATGTGTTGTGGTTCATTTAAATAGTGTCCTGATGCAGCTCCATTTGTAAGCATTGGTGTGTAATTGAGTATCCGGTCAGAATGTGCGGTTTTTCTATATATGCTAATCTGGAGTTTCCCATTGTTTTTGTGTTCTGACATTGTGTCCAGGAAGGGTAGTCAGTTGGTGCTTTCCTCTTCTTTTGTGAATTTTATCCTGATGAGGATGTTGTACAGGTGTTGGTGGGTTTCTTCTAGTTTTGCGCGTTTGATAATCTGATATTTACATATCAGACCCAGAAGTAATGCCAACCACCCCAACAAACCAAGGCATATAAAAAGCAAGCAAGACAGAACACCAATGCTTCACTGGAGGTGCACTGACGATGTTACCTAGCAGGCTCGGCGAGCATTTCGACAACGTCATCTACAACCCGAGCTGCAAATCTTCTCAAACTTTAGATGCCCTTAAATCTCTTAACCGTGCCATTGATTATAGTGAGACCGTTTTTTATAATTATCCAATTTCAATTATCTTTGTTCCTCTGCAGGTATCCCAGTGCGAAAATCATTTGGACAAGATCCCTCACTAATGACCTTTCCATACACTTCAATTGCAAATCAAGTAGAAGGAGGGAATTCTGATTCTGAAATTGAGATCACACCATCCAGACAACATCCTACCAAAAAACTGCTTCCTGATAGGAAGAAAGCTGCCAGAGATCGAGCTAACGAGAAACTTGTGCAATTCATTGTCAAGGCAAAGGGTGCAGAGAAGCACCTTCAGGCTGTCATTAAGGGACAGAAGCCATCTAGGTGGCTAGAGGAGTTTAAAACTCGTACCCGCAACTCAAGTGTCATTGATACGTACCTTGAAGATGACTGGCAGCTGGACCAAGTGGTTAACTACTTAAAAGCTGTCTGTGAAATGAATGTGAGCACAAAACTCTTAGAAGATTATGAGAGGTCTAGGTTTATCCTGGATGTCCTCTTGCCGGAGGTGAGTTCTAATGCAAAATGTAGAGGATTAGATTTCTATTTTCTCGTGATTGACAAATTGCAATATGTAAATTCATGTAGAGAGTATTTACATTTCCTGTACCTGGTAAAATACCGGATCACTGGTTCTGGAAAATGAAAAATGCAATTTTGAGCCTCAGCAGAATTAGCTGAACACCATTGGGCTCTCCAGTTGATGTCAGTGCTTCACCAGCATGTTACTAGGACTTTGAATTGAGTTGAATTATGAGGTCAAGTTGCTTAAGCTTGGCTTGTATTTCAGAAGTTAAAAGGGGAATCTAATTGAAATTATTAATTCTAATTGAAATGTAATAGCATAGATGCAGATAAACAGTTCCCTCTGTTGGGGGAATCCAAAAGTAGAGGATGTAATCTTAAAATTTGAATTAGGAAAATCTGGGGTCAAATCAAAAAGCACTTGTGTTCATGTTCCAGTGGAAATCTAGAGTACTGACTGACTAATTTGTCCACTGGTGAGTCCATTGAATTTTGACAACCAAATAAAAATCTATTGATCTGTCAAGGTTATCCAGATATATAGAACAAAGGCAGTTAAATGGAGTTGAGATACAGAAAGCTATGATCTAGTCAAATGGAGAAACCAGCTTGAATAGGATAAATAGTCCATGTCTCTTCCTATGCTTTTGAATTAGAGAGGCATGAAGAGTTGTTAGTGCTCCATGCTTTTAATTTACATTTAATGTTGGCATTTGTCTAGAGAAAGATGTACCAATTAAAAGGGTGTTTGGCTGAAAACCTTTTTTCCAAAAGACAAAATCTGGCACACTTTACAAAAAGTCAAAGATGTCCAACTCAGAATTGCATTGAAATCTACTGATGTAGGTTTTGCAAATTCTTTTGTGACTGCTCCCAATTGGAGTGAAGTCTTGAATCTTGCAATGTACCATACCATAGGCAAGCTGGTTTGATGGCTGTTGTGACATGGAAGTGTCGATAGAAAATCACTTTAAACTGAGAGAGAACAGGGTCGTGCAGTTACGTAGCATCTTTCATGACCTTGGTATACCCCAAATGTAGAGCAAAGAACAAAAATGGTACAATTATTTCATTCAATTTTATTTCCAGTAAATTATCAACAGCGTGAACTTCGTAAACGTAGATGTCGAGAATGTAGAATTTGGTGATGAAAGCTTGATCACTTCTACTTTAATTTTCTCAGTATGTCAAGGCAGTCATTGCTTTGACAAAACCTTTTGTATTATTAATTTCTTTACTGGAATGGCATTCTATGGATGTTAATTGTTCTGGTGCCTCACCTGAGTGATTGTATGTACAGGGAGTACAAAATGGCTGACTTTGGCAGTCCAAGTTAATGTTATCTATACACACACACAAACTAATGTAGTTCCTCACTTCTGAGCACCCCTCCTACTCCAAATTGAAGCTTAAGTATAGAAGTCAGAATACTACAGATGCTGGAAATTGGAAATAAAAACAGAAAATGCTGTAAATTTTCAGTCTGAAAGCATCAGCAGAAGGAAGAAAATCAAGTTAAAATGTTAAATCTAGTTAAATCTACTTCAGACCAGTTTTGATGAAAGTTTGCAGAATGATTGCAATGTAGCATGCAAGTCGACCTCTTAAAGCCTTAAAATCTATTCTGTACTTGGCAGTTACTAGGCTCCAGTCGGAAATAACAACATACAAACTCAATGTTTGCTGCGACCCACCAGGGAGGTTTTTATTCTGCAATTCTGCACTCTGAAAGCTCAAACAAGTCTGAACAAGCCAGTGAGCACACTTCTTAAAGATATACTTTCATACATACAAGAACTATAATGTATAACAAAAACCTCCTTAAACAAGGGTGAGCTGTCAAGTATAGCGAAATGACAAGTGTGGGTGGCTGCCAATTTTAAAAAGTCATTACAATCCATGCAAAGCATCAACCCTGAAAGATCAACTCTGTTTCTCTCTCCAGAGATGATACTAGATATCCTGAGTATTTCCAGCAATGCCTATTGCAGATGCCAAAAATCTGAAAGAGTAATATTTTGCATTTGCATTACTGTTTAAAAGGCTTCCAGTTCTTTGTTCACAGGATGTACGTTCTGCTGACTGCCAGCATTTCTAACCCTTTCCTAATTGTCCAAAGGGCTTAAGAGTCAATCATAATGCTGAGTGTCTGGAATCACCTGCAAGTCAGACCAAGCAAGGACAACCAGTTTCCTTGCCAATAAGGTATCAGTGAAACCGATGTTGACTTAGGATAATCAACAATGGTTACACATCACATTAGGTCAGCTTTTTATTCAAGTTTTTATTGAATTCAAATTTCACCATCTGCCATGTGGGATATGACCCCATGCTCTAGAATATTGGCCTGGATTAACAATTGCTAGTCTAGTGACATTACCACTACACTACACCACTAAGACATTGTCACTTTTCAGGATTTCCATTTGTGTCGCTTATCTTGTCGACGTTCACTGCTTTCTCCCTCTCTGCTTGTGGTTAATCATGTATTTATCAAAACTCACATTCACAGCCAGACCTTCATCCTTAGCAAATATCTCCAGCTATCACTCACTCCACATGGATTCCAACTGAAATTCCTCAGTTTGTTTATAAATCCTATCATGATTACAGGTTTCTTTGAATCATTGTGTTCCTTCAGTGTCAGTTCTCACCATATTCTGGAATCCATTGCCTAGTGCCACATGGCACCATCTCATTTGGGCCTTTATCTCGTCTCTTTTTTTTTTTTTAAAAATTGCAAGCTCCTACAACTTGATCATCTTCATTTTATTGAACCTCATCTACACTTAGTACTACTTTTTGTGAGATTCAGATGAAAAGTCATTGATCTGAGCCATTAACTGCATTAGTCCCTCCACAAATGTTCCCAAACCTTTTCCAACGCTTTCAATTTTTGTGACAGCTTAAGTACAGGCATCCTGTACCGCTGTCTCTCAAGATTTACGTGATCCACATGTTAAACTTCTCCAGTTAGATACTCTCCAACACATTCCAGTGTTCTTTTGTTCAAAAATCTTAATGCTTTTAATATTGTTCTTGGTTGCATTCTTGCAGTATATTGTAGACACCTAAAGCAACTTTCACTTCTCTTTCAATATAGGCCATTATTTGTGCAATTGCTGAGGTTGAACAGATGAGCATCAAGAAAGCCGAAGAAAAGTACATGAAGGGCCCACTTCACAGTGAAAGGTGAGAATTGTGGATGTTATCCAAATCTATTTTGAACTTTAATACAAGTTATTGTTAAAAATCTTTTAAGGCTGCCAACGTCGAATGACCATTTAAATGAATAATGTGGGGCTTTCTGATATATAAAATGGAATAATAGTGTCAAATTCTGAAAAGACTCTACCAAATTGTTAGCGGTAATGTTTCTGAAATTAGGTTTGAACAGAATATCTTTGACCATTGCATGTTCCAAGCATTAATTTTACTCTTGTTTAAAAACCATTCAATTAGTTGGACAGAAAACTAAAATCGCTTGATGGGTTGATTGGAATTTTATCTTCTCTCAAATGCCTGTTTATACAAAACAAACAGCACATGCGATATGTCCCATCATTTTGCTACTAATTTCCTCCCTCCTTTAATCTTTTCTTTGCTTGATATATTAGCTCACCTAATTGGCCACAATTCAAGATCCCACTAAGTGGAGGTAATAACCTCCTGGTATCATCAGTAGACTATTCTGGGGACCCAGGTTTGAATCCTGCCATGGCAGATGGTGGAATTTGAATTCAATAAAGATCTGGAGTTAAGATTGCAATGATGACTGTGAAACCATTGTAAATTGTCAGAAAAAGCCTATCCCACTCTCTTAATGTCCTTCTGAGGAAGGAAACTGCCATCCTTGCTTTGGCAAACACTTTGTCTCCAGACCTACAGCAATGTGTTTCATCCTTATTAGGGTTTGGCAATAATTACTGGCACAGCCAGCAAGTGGAGTACGTGAGCAATGAGCGGCAGGTTTCTGATGACAATTTGGATCCTCTCTGCAACAAACTGGCTCAGTTCTTATTCTGCACATGCATACATTCCCATCAGACTTCATTGTGCTTCTTTATTCCATATTAAAGATCACATTATGAGATCAATTGGACTTCAGAATTTTCCTGAACTGCATGGCTGCTGCTATGATATCTGTTGGCTCTCGTATTTGGGCAAACTGAAAGTCTGTGTTTCAGTCCTTCACTAATATATAGAGACCCTGTCATTACCAATTAAATCAGGAATCCCCAAGTGGGGTGGTGAGCTGAAATATTAGGATTGTGCTCTGAGGAAGTAATGGTCACCCTAGCATCTTGACAGACTTATAAAGCTGTATCCCCTCGTATACACACAGACACCACATCATAGTAATAGCCATAGCTAAGATGAAATATCATGATACTTTGGATGTTGGCAGATGAACTCTTTAAAAAGTGCAGTTGAATAAAAATTTCTAAATTTGAACTGCAAGTGGGGTTGGAGACACAGGGCATGTTTTTATACCCCAATACTTGAACTCTTGCCAATTGCCATGCATACAACAGTTGAATTTATAAGACATCTCCAGCAGAGTTGAGTTGTATAACTTTGGATGAAGTATTGATCTTGGTAGTAGCAGTGATAGCAATACAAGGTGATTCAATCACACAAGGAGTTGATTTGTTCCCTTTACTCAGTCTATTTTTTTTTACTGTAAAACACCAAAATGCCAAGACTTGTGGTAATGATAATATTTACATGCCAAATATGTTTCAAGTAACCTTATGACCTTTACAATGTTTTGCAGGGAAGTTGAACACTTCAACAAAGAGATTGAAAAAGAGATGAAACTGAAACAGAAGCTCTTGAAAAAGGAGGAATCCACTAGCTGAAGCTTTCATTCTTAAAATGCACGTGTACATAAGATTGAATGAAACTCATATTTTTTGTGCAAAGTAATATCATTTTTGATAGCAAGAATTTAAATGTTTCTTATGAAATATCAAAACCAATTGTGTACAGATAACATGAGAGTTAAAAGCGTGTAAATATCCCATCTGGGGAAATCAATTATCTGTTTAAGTCTCAGTGCATAAGGCTTAAAGCTTAAGTATGTTTTTTACTTCAAAATGAAAAGCCATTCATTTCACAAAGACTTAAAATTTTGGCAAGCTCAGTTAAATTTGATATCCTTTATTGTGTCCTTTTCTGAAACGCAAAAAAATTGTGCTTTTTTTTTGTTGATTTTAACTTTGAATGGTAACCACCTTTGTGGTGTAATATCAATATTCTCCTAAGAGTGGGTAATGAAGGCATTTGATTCACTATTCCAACTACACGCACAGTATAATACATGAGAATGTGCTATCAATAAAAATCACACTTGGAACCATTGCCCATTTTTGTTGGTCTAGATCCGGAGTGGTGATTTTCTATAAGTGGCAATAGTAAGGAGAAGACAGACAAAATAGTTAGATGAGAAGATATCCTGACTGAGTACCGGGGAAGGTTAGAAATTGAGTGAACCGCAAACATTTTAAAACCATCTGTCTGAGTGTTTTTAAAGGTGGGTAGAGGAGAAGACAAGTAAGGATTTAAAGATGCAGTTCTTGAGATTATATGACCAAGGTGGCTCAAAGCTCTTTAAAATGGTCAGTTGTAGAATTAAAAGATTTTCCTATCTATCCAGATTGAGATACCAGCCAAAAATCAGAAGTTTTTCAATTGTGATACTACTCACTTGCAGAGATGTTTGATTTTATATATTAAGGAACTTGTCATACATTTATTATTTCAGTCCTCAATTTTTTACCTTCGAAATTTTTTCTTTGCTATTACACTGGTCTGTTCTTCATTTAGAAGGGTGGATAGCGTGAAAAGAAAATAAAAAATAGAATTATCTTTATTGACAATAGCAGAGGAGACTTAAGTCTTGAAATCAGAATAATTATTTTTAATGGTCAAATATGTTTTCATGGTGTTGTCAAAGCAATTGGAAATTGCAACATTTCCTTTGGGTGTTTCAGTAGAGAAGAGAAAGGAAATTTAAAAATTTTTTTTATATAATTCTTTCACCATTTCAAGACATTGCCTGTAAAGTATTTTGCAATGAAGTATTTTCTGCTGCCTAGACTCTATGAATCTATAATCCTCCACTAGATACACTTTCCCAACCTGTAAAAGACAAATTAATCCAAATTGTCCCTTCTGTGTTGATCAATCCTTAACCCATGCTCATATGTAACCACCAATACTGAGATCCTCTCTTATGCAACAATTTTTTATGTGGTAGCTTATTGAATATCTTCTGAAAATCCAAAAACACTACATCTCCTGGTTCCTCTTTATCAACTCTTCTTGTTATATGCTCAAGTAACTCTAGCAAACTTCTGAAACACAAGTTCCCTTTCACACAACTGTTTCTAAATGTCCTGCTATTTCTTCTTTAATGAACTGATGTTAGGCTAACTGGACAATAGTTTCCTGCTTTCGGTCTTCCTTCTTGAACAGGTGTGTCACATTTAGCAGTTTACCAATCTGCTGGAACCCTCAAATATACATATCCAGAACATGCTTGATATCACAACATTAAAATTGGGTCATACTCCACCTCAACAGTTGATGTGCTTGCCCATCAGCATGAGTATATTATATCTCCAAGTTTTTTTTTAATTTGCATGTATTCCGTATTTCTGAGTAGGGTAGTAAACTGGTTCCAATGGTCTCAATTTAACTGTGTGAGCCTGATGCTCTCATTGGACTCCTATTAATTGACAGAAGGACATGTTGAGATTCTTAAATGGAGTGGCAATTTATTATTGAGATTACATAGCAACAGATATTACTTGCATTCAATTATACTGAAATCTCTTTGGAGTTTTGGTCAAATACAGATATGAAATATGAGCTTTTTACTTAGGTTTCAAGCAATGGGCATTTGATATAGCTGCATGAGCAGATTAGTTATTGAAGGCCACCATTAGCCCAGGGTTCCTTCTGCATCAAGTTTCAAGTCTGCCCTGTTTTCAGCTCTGTAATTCTACCCACCTTCAAATCCAAGCACATAATGTCAGCATTTTCCTTTGATACCATTTTTGTCAATAAATAATCAGGATAGCATTTAACAGGTTCTGATGATGAGATCCTCTCATTTTGTGCATTTTTTTTTTTACTAGTATTCAATTTTCTGAAATACTGAGCATTAGCACTGAACTCCTCTTGATCATATTGTTCCATTTCTTAACTAATGTTAGTAGGTGCCATAAGTTTAAAAGACCATAAAAAGTAGGAACAGGAGTAGACCGTTTGGCCCTGCGAGTCTGCTCTGCCATTCAACAGAATCATGGCTGATTCAATATTTCTCACATCTACTTTCCTGTCCTTTCCCAATCACCCTTGATTCCCACCTTGATAAAGAATTATCTCTATTAAATATACAGAAGGACTCTGCCCTCACAGCTGTCTGTGGTAAGGAGTTCCAAAGACATTCAACCTTCAGAGAAAATTCCTCCTCATCTAAGTCTTAAATCCACAATCTATGATCTCAAAGAATGTTGATATGTAATTAGTCACTGGCTCCTGTTTTACCTGATTTTAGACTTTGCTCCTGTGGGTTACTGTCTTGACCTTGCAAACTATAAACTCTTTATAATCAGCTGATTGAACAGTATGGAGATCCATGGAAAACTCTCATTAGGTAGAGTAATAAATGCCAATTCCAAGAGAAAATGGACGTTTGTACTTGCTCCATCTAAGTTTGCTTGTAGAAAAGGGCAATTTTATTAATACAGAAAAAATAACTGATATAATTACCAGGAGCTGCATTTGCGCAAATACAACTTTTTTTTAGCAACATACTGGTTTGACAGGTATAGTGATGACCCTTTGGTGTCTCACTTTTTGAGAGAGAGAGAAATGGGTAGTATGGCTGCTGAATTAACAAAGAAAGATGAAGCTTCAAAACCATGTTGGATCCTATTCAATTCATTAATGCAAGTCCTCCACTCGGCTTTTCCAGTTGAGGGCAGTTGACACAATGAGTATCCATTGTTCTTATTTCTCTAGGCAAAAGACAGCAATTTCAAATATGTGTATACAGGCAAGTACATTATTGTTTATCCTGGGGTTGTATTTTAAATTGATTAAACAATCGTGTGTAGGATTCAAATGATTGCAGTTGCTGGTGGTGTGGAACACTATGGAGGTGTGAAAGTGCTCTTCTAGAAATGAAAACTAACCCAAACCCTTGCCTATACTTCATCTTTTGGTTTTTAATTCTATTTTGATTCCCTGCTTCTATTCAAATATCCATATGTATATATTATATAATAATGTTAATAATGTTTCACTGTAGTTGGTAGTCATGTGTGATGTGAAAATCAATGGCTGCCTCACTTTTTTTTAATTGCACATAGGATAGGAGTATTGTTGCCAAAGCCACCTTTTGTGGCCTGTGGCCACTTGGCTTTGAGAAGGTGATGGTGATTCGCCTTCATGGGCCACTGCAGCACATGTGGTAAAAGTGCACCCTTGGTGCTTTTAAGGAAGGGACAAATTGCTGCCTTGTGTAACATTTGAAAGAGTTCCAGAGAGAGAACAGCAGTTAGAGAGATAGAGATGGATGATGGTATGTCAAGGAGAAAGAAAAGCTCATAATGGGGCCATTAGCAAGCTAACATGAGTTGGCTGTGCTGACACCAACACATGGGTATGTCAAGGCCTGGGTGTGACGATGGCTATAGGAAAAAGAAGGTGGTGGTCAGGTTCTAAGTTATTGAACTTCAATATTGAGTCTCAAAGGCTGCAGGGTCCCTATGCAGAAAATGAGATGCTTTTCTAGCTTGCGCTGCAACAAACCAAAGACACAAATGTTGGCTGGGAACACGGTGGTGTGTCGAAATGAGTGGCAACTGAAAGCTCGGAGTCATTTTTGCGGACAGAACATAGGAGTTCTGCAAAATGGACGCCTAGTCTGTTTACCATCTTTGCAAGGTAGAATATACTGCATTGTGAGCAGCAAATGCAGTAGACTAGATTGAAGTGCAGGTAAATTGCTGGTTCACCTGAAAGATGTGTCTGGATCCTTGGAAAGTGACAAGGGAGGATGTAAACGGGCTGCTGTCTGCAATTGCATGTGGAGCTGCTGTGGGGAGATGTTGTGAGTGGAGGAGGACTGGACTAGGGTTTCCCAGAGAGAACAGTCCCTGTGAAATGCTAATAAGGGAGGGAAGTGGAAAGGTGTTGGGTTGTGGCATCCTGCTTAAAGGTGTTGGAAATGGCAGCTTATGATTCTGATTCGGCATTGATTGAAAAATACTGGGCCTACTAGGAAGCTAGTAGTAGTACAGAAATTAGAGGGGCAGCACAGTGGCTCAGTGGTCAGAATGGCTGCCTCACAGCACCAGGGACCCAGCCTCTGACTGTCTGTGTGGAGTTTGCACATTCTCCCCGTGTCTGCGTGCGTTTTCTCCAGGTGCTCCAATCCAAAGATGTGCAGGTTAGTTGGATGACCATTGCTAACTTGCCCATAGTGTCCAGGGATGTGTAGGTTATATGGATTAGCCATGGGAAATGCAGGGTTGCAGGAATAGTGTAGGGGGGGGTGAGTCTGGGTGGGTTGCTCTTCGGAGAGTCAATGTGGACTTGTTGGGCTAAATGGCCTGTTCCCACATTGTAGGGATTCTTGGGTATTCTAGGAGGGTATAAATAAAGAGAAGGCATTTAAAAGTTTGAGCTAACAAGGTGTAGAGTTGGATGAACACAGCAGGCCAAGCAGCACCAGAGGAGCAAAAAAGCTGATGTTTCGGGTCTGGACCCTTCAGAAATGGGGGAGGGGAAGGGGATTCTGAAATAAATAGACAGAAGCGGAGGTGGATGGAAGATAGCTAAAGGAGCAGATAGGTCAAGGAGGCAGGGATGGAGCCAGTAAAGGTGAGTGCAGGTGGGGAGTTAGGATGGGGGTAGGTCAGTCAAGGGAAGACAGACAGGTCAGGGAGGTGGAGATGATGCTGGTAGGTAGGAGGTGGGGGTGGGGGCTGAGGTAGGAGGAGCGGATAGGTGGGAGAAAGGACAGACAAGTTAGGGAGGCGGGGACAAGCTGGCCTGGTTTTGGGATGTGGTTGGGTTTGGAGATTTTGAAGCTTGTGAAGTCCACGTTAATACCATTGGGCTGTAGAGTTCCCAAGCGAAATATGAGGTGCTGTTCCTGCAACCTTCGGGTGGCATCGTTGTGGCACCGGAGGAGGCCCAGGATGGGCATGTCATCCAAGGGGTAGGAGGGGGTGTTGAAGTGGTTCGTGACTGGGAGGTGCAGTCGTTTGTCGCAAACCGAGCGTAGGTGTTCCACAAACCGGTCTCCAAGCCTCCGCTTGGATTCCCCGCACTTAAAAG